TTTTTGTTTAAATCGTCACTGTTGTAATAGTAATAATTAAACATGTACTTATTTATTTTCTCTTGGCTAATTAGCGTATTATATAGTTTTCTTGTTACGATTCCTATCAGTATCCTATAACAGCTACGTTACCATTATCGATGAAAATAAAAATTCAAAGAAACGATAAAATCGTAGCTCATCGAGATGCAACGAAGAAGTTCCATCACGAACGATTATTTACACTCGCGAGATACACTTCCCTCGCCGGAAATAAATGAAAAGTTCTCGATGGTGGTGGAGTTGATTTCACTCGATGGTGGATTCGGCGGGAAGGGGGAGGGACAATCGCCGGAAGGCTCATCCGTCTCTGTCAAAAAGACGTACGGCCATCCGTTCCAGATGAAAAGCAATTGATGACAATGAAAGTCGTCAACTGTCGTGGCCGCGGCTAGCACTTTCGTTAGATGCTCAAATTTTTAGCAACCAGCTCGAATAGGTTCCCGGCGTAGCTTGCCAGTGATTCTTCACTTCTCCCTCTTTGCCCTCCTTCTTCTTATTTATCTTTGAGGCGAGCCTCGAACTTTCTGCCGCGCCATTTGTCTCTTTCAGAGAAGACGTACGATCCCTGATTTCGCTCGCGAGTGCTCCGTCGACGCGTTAACCAGCGGCTCGAGGCGAGTCGAGCCAACTTTCCGAAAAATGCTCGCTTCCTCCCTAGCTCATCCCGGATATCAAAAGGAGTTGCAAACTAGCAAAATAAACGAGTTATGTGTGTGTGAATATACAATGCAAACAGATCTCTACGAGAGATCATCTCACGATTCCTTTATCTCTTAACCTCTTGCGTGTCGAGAATTTTTTGTTCCAAAAATTGCAATATTTTCTCAGTTTTAGGTACATTCAAGTAAAACAAAATAGGCGAAACAAATAATAAATTTGTTACTCCTTAATAATTTTTATCCAGTGATATAATACCGACGAATTATTGTATACGGTTTGGTCACTCGTTATGGTCCGCAA